CTCCGGCCGAAGGGGTGGTAGGTGCGTCCCCACCACTGCGGCGCCACGGGTCACGTGACGCCCCGATCGATCCCTACCACCGAGGCGCCAACGTGTCACGTGAAACGTAACTGTACCCCCACCAACGCATCAGTGACTGGGGCGCCAGTGCCGGATTCGCATCGTGTAACAGCAACCCGAACGGCGAGACTGCCACCTACAGGGCCTCCACATTCGACGTTCTAGTACAGTCAACGGCAAATCTGGCTTCTCTAACACAGATAACAAAACTAAAATACTCTCGTTCATTTTTTACGCTAGATTTACGGAAATATGACGGATCTTACGTTTCATGAGAAAGTTATTGATCCTTCAAGCATTGTGGACGCGTATGCGTTCTCAGAAGAATCTCATGACTTATTGCTAAGCAGTTGGTGGTGAATCGTCGTTGATTTACAATTTTTACACCTTATGACGCCGCAAAATGGGAAATTTTGATCGATAGTGACACGGAAAATCGTTGGCAAGTCTGGCCAGTTTGTGTCGTATGAAAGGGTTGAGCTTTTTACTAAATTGGGAAATGGTTTACGTATTATTTATTTTTACTGTTTGGTTTTTTGTCTGTAAATTTAGGATTATTTTTTGGAGATTTAGATGACGGTTTGGAGACTTTGTAATTGAGGGTGCATGCGAGCGTCTTGAGATATATCAAACTCCTAATATAGGAATAGAAATTTGGGGGTCTAGATTTTAGGATTTTGGGAAGGATTTAGGATTTTAGGATTTAGGGAGGTAGAAATGTGGGAATCTAGATGTTTGTAGGTTTAGATATTTAAGATCTAGAGAGGTATGAATCTCAAGATTTATGAGACTAGAAATGTAGAGATTAAGAAATTTGTGAACCTGAGATTTTCGACATTTAAAAATTTAAAAATTTGAAAGTTACAAAATTTTTAAATTTAAATACTTGTGAGATTAAGAGCTTGAGAACTTATAAACTGGATAGTTTGAAAATTTGAACCCTTAAAAACTTGAAAATTTGAAACCTTGAAAACTTGAAAATTTGAAACCTTGAAAACTCACAAACTTGAAAGTTGAAAATTTGAAAACTTATAAATCTGAAAACTTGAAAGTTTAACAACATGAAAATTTACAAAGTAGAGCCCTAAAGTTGCAAAATTCGAGTATTTAACAAGTTTGATATTCATAAACATTAGAAACTGGAAAGTAGAAATTCCTGCGGTTCTACTATGAAGGTCACTACCTTCGCCGTTCTCGTGTTATTTCCAGGGATGGTCACGGAAACGACGTATCCCAACATGGTAGCGTTTTAAACCTGCTGTCTTTGGGTTCGCAATGACCTAGGACAGATTTCCGAACGTGAATGATTTAGCGTGTCCACTGCTGTTCAAAATTTACGATTTCCGGTGGTACTTGGAAAATACACAAGAAATACTGTTTTATAGCGTCAAAACTTTCGGAGGTCTGTGAAAGGACCATAGTTCTGTCTTTAACGGATGTTTAAACACAATAGATGTTCCTCATTTATCTCTTATTTAATTTTTAAGGTAATAAAATTAAAAATCAAGTTTAATTTCATCTAAATTTAATTGAAATTCTAAATCAAACTGACTTATTTGATTTTAGACAATTTTCTAAATTTTAGACAATTTCTTTAGGAAGATGTTTGGGTGATGTTATCTTGGTACATGAGAAATTTTATTTAATTATTATATATAATACAAATTTTGCAAACATGTAGGTTTTTTTATTTGAGGACATATTTACTCAAAATAATTTCTTCACATTTTTCCCAACAATTTATTAATTTTATTATTATTTTTTTTTATAGAATTCTTAATATTCTGTCTAGCAAATGATGTCTATTAATTTATTAAAACAACGTTCAACAATTCTACCTAATATTTTGTCCCAATAATTTGCAAATAGAAAAATAAAAAATATATGAACTATATTGCAAAACGTAAAAAATTGATAAATATTTATATTTAAATTATTGTAATATTTCTATGTATCTACATAAGTAAAATTGCAGAACAAACCAAATTAAATTATATATATAAGTATTTTATAAAAGCATATGCGTGCACAAATAACCACAAGTTAAATACGTAAAAGAGAAAAATGAAGAAGTTAATAATTTTCACGTTATTCATTTAATTTCAATATCTTCGTTTATAATCATTTACAGAAAGTTAAAGTAAAGACATTTGAGTGTTTAAAATTGTGAGCAACAGTATAATTATCGAAAACTGACCACGTTGTGTATGGTTACGTTTAAATGTCCGATGACGTGGCGTAGGGCGCTATTTGCACGTGACCCGTGCTTGCCTTGAAAGAGGTTCGGACATGTCCGGATTTATTCGTTTTCGTTCGTTCACACATGACGTCGAAAATCTTTCCATCATTCTTTGCTATCGAAATTTCAGCTTTTTAAGAGTACCTTACAACTTGTTATCTTCGTTTCATAACTTAAGAACTGACTGACATATCTCTTGAGATACCCTTAATAAAAACAGGGACAATGGCTGAAAAAAAGTGAAAAATGTCGAAAATAAACCTATTTCGAGCTTCTTACGCGCGTATCTTTGTACTTATGATGAAAAGTGAAATAGCTTCTTTTATTTGAAGAATAATCTGTAAATTATGTACACTGTACGTGGTATAATATGATTAAGTATTTAATATACTTAGTGTAAGCAATACTATTAACTATAGTGTAAATAATACACTAAGTGTAAATACCATTAACTATAGTGTAAATATTACATGAAGTTTAAATCACATTATAATATAAGTATAACTACAATGTAATTATACCATAAATAATACACTATAGTTAAGTATTTAAAATGGAAACGAATCACGAAATGATACAGAGGTCACCTTCACTTTCAGAAATAGCATTCTATATCTTCCTATTGGTAAAATAGCTTCCATTTCGAAATAAATCCCAATGCAACATTTTCAACTATTTCAAATTAAGAAACAAAATTAGTTAATTAATTTATAACTGAAATTTTATTATCTTTTTGCTGTTAATTTATGTACAATATCGTGTAAAATTTAAGATAAGCATCGAGGTCGATAATATGTTTTATTTGATTATTATCAATTGCACCTTTGAACGATCACGCGACTTTCTTTAAAATTTCATATCTTCTGACTGGAATTTTTTAAATCAGTATATCGATTTAAAAAATTCTATAAATACATTGATTGTATAATATGATAGACTCGTTAACTCAAATTTTAAAGAGCAACGTTTACTTCAACTTTTGTTTCGTTTTTTAAATGTATACAATTATGAAACATCTGATATTTTTTATGAAATTATATTTGACTTATCTAATATTTATTTATTATTTAATGCTTACACATTATTATTGTTTATTATTTGTATTATTTATTAGAGTTCTATATTATGTTTTATTATAGTTTATTTAGTTCCAAAATATTTCAAAACGTGGTGATAAAATTCAAGCAAAAAAATGTGTACATATAGTATAAATGATTAAAATTAATAAAACTTGTTAATAGTAAATGTTAGTTATGAGAATCCTTGAAGGGGTTAACCTTCGATGACTCTTCTAAATCTTCTTAAGTATTCATTGTGTTATCAAAGTCATTGTAAACGTACCATTACCAGCTCCACAATGGCAAACTATTAATGAACCGTTATAAAACAAACGTTTTTGCAATTAAATTAATCACTCAGCTACATAGTAACAGTACGTAATGATACTTTAACATAATCAAACATTTAAATAAAAAAAATAAGGAACTAGTACTTGAACCTTAGACCTTTCAATCTATCAAGCGTTTAACCACGCAGCAGCTTTACATGTGCTAGTCTGGCATGCTAGAGAATTTAAAGAGTTTAATTGTCAATATCTTCTAAACAGTTAGTCTACTTTCAAAATATGGTATATAAATGCTTTTTATAGGACAGTGTTATGAACGAGTAAATACATTTGTAGAATTATCTTCGTTAAACCATATTGAAAATCACTACATGTGACTGTTTGGAAAATCACCTACATGTGACTGTTTTTAGATGTGATAGAATGAAGAATTTAACCCTGTCAGTGCTAAATAATGGTCTAAATAAAAATAGACAATTTGGCATTAAGAATGTTAAGTATACTGCTGGTTATTAGTACGAAATAACGATATAAATAAAAATAAACAATTTAGAATTAGAAACGGTAAGTGTACAATTGACTATCAATGTCCAAGAAGAATATAAACAAAAGTAAACAATTTAGAATTAAAAATGCTGAGTATACAACTGACTACAGTACCAAAGAACAATATCAATAAAAATAAATAATTTAATTTTAAAAATGTCGAGTACTCAATTGACATTAATTTATCTTATAACTTGTTCTCCTTAGAATTTAACCCTTTGCACTCGGTTATTTCCTCTGAAAAAATATTCCAAATAACAAAATAAATCGGAGTGCAAAGTGTTAATAAGTATCCTCACTTTCAGAATTTATAAAATTTGTTTTAGTTAAGTTACTTATTTATTTATTTAGTTACTTTAGGTATCAATATGCATCTAGTATTCTCAGGGTACTCTCTCGGTCACAAGGATCAAAAACACGTAACCGATCCAAGTCATCGTCATTCGATCGATTACAAATCGAACAATCGTATATCCGGTTGGCACGAAGTCCCCTCATACGTGTTGTCCGATATCATTCCGACTTACTCGTCCGTAGTACTCGAGCGTACCACTTATTGTACAGTCGTTACGACGTCGTCTGGTACGCGCAACGCAACATCCGGTCGCGTAAGTTGCACGCGCGTACGATGACCATCCCGTAGTAGTAAAAGCGTAGTACACGCGAACAAGCTGCGAGTTTCGTGTACGAACAACATTCCCACTCCTACACGGCCCGTTTCTTTCTCCTGACCCGTTCAAATTATCCGCCGGAA